GTAAGCCCAATTCCAATTCCTTGAGAATCCAGGACTATGAAGAGCAGCTGAAGAAACAAAAGAAGTCAATTGATCAACAGGCCCAACAAATATCCAAACTCAAAAACGAAAGTAACCTTTGCGAAAAGAAGCGTAAAAGCTGCGAAGAGAAGCCCGTTTACGGTGAATGCACCGACTTTGCTGATGCTCCGGGTATTCATAAGATTACTCCGGATCAAGAAGCTTCTTTCGATGTACTTTGTGACAGTGCGACAGCAGGTCCTGGCTGGACGGTTATCCAGCAGCGAATCAACGGCAAGGAGGATTTCTACAGGAATTGGACCACATACCGTGAAGGCTTTGGTTCCTTTGACGGTGACTTCTTCCTCGGTCTGGAGAAGATTCATCGCTTGACGCGTGCCCAGCCTCATGAGCTCTACATACATATGGCGGGATTTGATGGTAACATCAGATACAGAAGATACGATCAATTTGCCATATCTGGCGAGAAGGACCAATACAGATTGATCACCTTGGGTAATTCTGAAGGCAGTGCAGAATATGATAACTTGATATATCACAAAAATCAGAAATTCAGCACATTCGATCGTGACAATGACAATTGGGAGTCTGTCAACTGCGCAAGCCGAGAATATTGTGCAGGTGGCTGGTGGTACGATGTTTGTGGAACCAGGTATTGATCGTCAGAGCTTGATCAAAACAATTAATATGCAATTAAATTGTATATTGTTTTCGTTTTTAGCAATTTAAATGGCAAGTACTATGATCATGAGAAGTACACGACTGATGCCATATATTGGGGTTTCGGCGACTTCTTGAAGACAGTCAAAATGCTTATTCGCCCCAAAAGCAAGGGAAAATAAAACGAAATAAATAACAAATTATACATTAATTGTAAAGAAGCTTTAACTAATTAAAATTCCACTAAAGTAGCATTCGATCTTAAAACAAACTCCTTTATTTACGTTTATATAAAGTTGGATTCAAAATAAAAAAACAAGTAAGAGGTTCTGGTCGGGAGCTCCCGACTAGGGGATACCCTGAACCCTCTTCTTCCAACATCTAGCTCTTATTATTTACCAAAATTGCCCCAAATAAAACAGGATAACGATATCGTTTTTATCGATTGCTTGGAAACGGAATAAGTTATCGGTTATCGGAAACAAACTCGATCTGTGCAGGCACTAGGAACACGTACATCTAAAATTTCAAGTCTCTAGCTCTTATAGGTTCTGAGATCCTTGCGTTCATACATTCGGACAGACGGACATGGCTAGATCGACTCGGCTATCGATGCTGATCAAGAATATATATACTTTATGGGGTCGGAGAAGCTTCCTTCTGCCTGTTACATACATTTGCATTTTGCACAAATACAATATACCCTTATACTCATTTTTAATGGGTTCAGGGTATAAAAATCGATGGGAGTCCTTGAAGTTGTTGTCGTTGCCTAGAGAAACCAAAACTAAAGAACTTTCCATGTTTAAGAGATTCAAGCAAATTAGTTGAACAGAAGGAAATATGGATTCAACAAATGTAAAAGTTACATTAACAATCTGAGTCCATCTCTTAGTCGGATACTCTTACTTAACTATAAAATATACATAATTATTATGCATATTCAACTACATACATGAACAATTTCTGTGCATCTGTGTATGAATTGGCGCCAGAAAAAAAGTGAATGAAATTTGAAGGTGAATGGTCCCTTTTTTTAGGAATCCCTTCGAGTCTTTGAAAAGAGGCAAAATTGGTATTTTATAAAAGTTTTATTGAAAATCATCTAAAATACCATAAACTACTTTCATATGAATTTCAATACAAGAAATCAATGGCATCTGTGGGCTTTGCCCGAGACAGAACATATTAAGGGTCTACTTCAGGCACACGACTCTCAACTGTTAATGATGTATCTAATATGGTTAGAGTAGGCTTTTTTATACCCTGAACCCATTGGAAATGGTTAAAAAGGGTATATTGTATTTGTGCAAAATGCAAATGTGTGTGACAGGCAGAAGGAAGCATCTCCGACCCCATAAAGTATATATATTCTTGATCAGCATCAATAGCCGAGTCGATAAAGACATGTCCATCCGTCCGTCCGTCCGTCCGTCCGTATCTATGAACTGAAGGATCTCTGTACCTATAAGAGCTTGAGGCTTGAAATTTGGAACTTAGGTCTTCGTAGTGCCCGCCAAGTACGAGTTTATCGATATCGATATGGAAATCGTGTGTTTTGAGGAAAATTGTTTAGATTTTTAGAGCTAGCGTCACAAAACTTGACATATAGCTTCAAGAATACTATAAACAAGTCAAACATCTTTCGTTTTGAGACAATGCGATTTTTGTATAGCACAATGAGATATATTATTCAATATTTCAACAAGATTGGTTTGGAAACCGAAAACTTATTGCGTAAATTCTAAGAATTTCTGCGAATTCATTGTATTCTGCGCCGCGAGCTGCATTTGGTATTGGTAGAAGAGGATGCAGGGTATACCCTAGTCGAGAACTCCCGACTTGTTTCTAATACAATCTAATGTCTGGCCTAATACTACTAATGGATAAAGCAAAATAAAGGCAAGCAAAATGAATGCTGCATTAAATTTGAGCCAAGTTTGCGCCCATTTATGAAACGAGTCGAAAGCAGAACCGTTAATGCAACAGTTAATGCATTTGCTTTTGCCTTGTGGCAGCAACAGAACGTGTTGCTGCAACACAATAAACACACGCAGCTCGCCATGTGGCATAATCAGACTCGGAAGACAGTTAAGCAGCAGCAAGGTGGGCCGAGGGGGGGGGTGTGGGGGAGTTGGGGTTACGGACACGTAACCATTAACCAAAAACGGTGGCTAAAGAGGCGAACGTCCTCGACCTAGTTCAATGTCAATGTCATTGTGCCACATTATCGCCGTTGCCAGCGTCGTTGGCGACGGCGACGGCGACGGCGACGTCGTCCTTTGGCAGGCTTGGCCTTGGCTGGAGTGAAACGAGCGCACGAGTCGAGGCCACGGCCACGGCCACGAACATTGCCCAAAGTGGCACACGGCAGGACCCACACCCACCCACACCCACACCCACACCCACACCCACTTCCCACTTCCAGACCCCGACTCCTGTCAGAGAAAATGAGGCCCAGGCAATGGCCACGATGCTGGCAACATTGCGTTGCATGCCAGGCGGTTGGCGGTTGGCGGCTGGTGGCGACAATATCCTTGCACTTGTGCGGCTCTGCGCCTGCCGCGCGAGGCTGGGGCACACACAGACACAGAGCCTGCAGCCAATGCGCCAACAGCAGCAGCAGCAGCAACAAGCTCAACTCGTTGCCTCCTTTTGGGCCGTGCTGCTGTTGTTGCAAGGATGCCGTGTTGCCCTCCACACACACACACGCGCACACACAGACCCCAATTGGCAGTCGCGTTGCACTCGGAGCTGCAGCTGTGGCATCCAGACACCCGCAATCGTCATCGCCAGACCTGAAAAGTGGGAGCACAGTCGACGCCTAAATGCTCCCGTTACCTCTGCCCAACAAATTCCAATTGCAGCACCAACTCTGCTTCTATTGTGCTATCTCTATCCACTAGCTGTCTCGCTCTCGCCCCCAGAGGCTGCACCATCATCAACAGACAAAGTCTCCAAAGAGTTTGAGTTCGAAGGTTCGTTAACGTTTCGTATCGAACATGTTCTCTCCATAAAAGGTCTCTCTTTCTCTCTTAGTGGTATGGTGTGAATGTGTGTATGTGCGTGTATTTGCCATTTGAAATCATAGCACGTCGACTAGGGCACATATGTATATGCAGTAGGGTGACTCACTGTCTAGTATGAACAAAAAAATACAGCAAGTGGCGTTAGGCTGAGTAAATTAATATTTTGCATGAGATTTATTATAAAATAAACAACATATAATTGCAGTTATACCTATTTTGAATAAATCCTACATTTAAGATTATCTTTACGATGTTATCTTCACAATAAAATAAGCAAATCCTATGAAGTAGACATTCGAATGGAACTAGCTTCTCTGAGTAGGATTTGGATTTAAATCCATTCAATTTATTCCAATAGTACTCCATAGGAGAAACTATGTATATACCACTTAACATGTGCCGCATTTAACAAATATTTTTCTAACAACTTGTCGCGTGCTACCTTGAAACCCGCTATGCCAAAAAGGTGTCTCAAAGTAACAGTTGTTTACATTTTCTGTTTTATTGACCATTGCAGTGCGCGTTGAACAGGCTAAAGGAGAAGCGAGCGGCTGTGAATCAGAAATGGGCTAAGAATCAAGCTGAGCAGCAGACGCAGTCAAAACACACACACACACGCACACTCAGGCACAGCAAACGGGTCGCATTCCAGCGCTGGCAGCGGCAGCAGCAACCACTGCGACTGCGCAGACACCTTGGCCGCTGTGTCAGTGCGCGTCGAGATCTTGAACGGGCGAGTCGGCGAATTGCGGAGAGTGGCCGAACATTGAGGCAAAGCAAAAAGTAGAATTTAAAAAAAAAAACAACTTAAGATATGCACACAGCAGAAATATATTTTTAGTGATCTTCTCTCGCTGCGTGCGTGCGTGCGTGTGCGTGTGTGTGTGTGTTGAACTTTCTTTAGCCGCTGGGCGCTTGAGCATGTTATTTGTGAACGGCAAACCAAAGACAACAAAGCAAACAACAACAAGTGGCCGCGCAGCGACGCAGGAAAGTGCAAAAGCGTCGCAAACAGCAAGTTTCTTGGCAGACGTGGCAAACATCAAATTCAAAAAAGTGTATGCGGAAATCAATTAGTGCCTGTATATATGTATGTATATATATTAACACGTATGTATGTATGTGTGCGCAACAACATATGAAAAGTGAAAGTACGAGCAACTTGGCTAATAACTAATAACAAAAGCAACCACAATATTCTCACGCTGCGAAACCATGTCCAGCCACAGCGTACAGCGACGCAAGACAACGCGCTCCAAGTCGAAACAGCAGCAGCAGCAGCAACAACAACAACAACAACAACAGCAAAATGTTGCGGAAAACCTCATCGAAAATCAAAACGCAAGCAACGAACAAAACGAAAGACTTCACTTTCGCAGCCGTTCAGCAACCTCAGTCGGTGCAGTAGCAGCAGCGACAGCGGCAGCGCCAGCGCCAGTCACTTGCAATTCAACTTCACCACTATGCTGTAATGGCATGCTGCCCACCACAGCCACCACCATGCTCAACTGTTGCCGCGATATTAACTGCCACCTGAATACCCCGCTGGCGCCACCATTGCGCGGCAGCGTTGAGCGCAGTCGACGCTCAGAGAGTCGGCAATCTTTTCTAGCATCAGGAACGCTTAAGCCGACGACGACAGCATCGTCTACGCCTACCTCTGCATCTAAGCAGTCGCGTTCCCGTTCACGTTCGCGTTCGCGTTCGGGTTCTTGTGATGTCGGCGGCAACTCGTGCAATATTGGGGATCCTCTCAGGCAGAGCCCAGACAGCGCTGCGGCAGCGAAATTAACCGTTAGCCTGCACATTGATCTCATCAGCTGGGGTCTCTTTCTGCTGGCGTTCTTAACGCGTTTCTATAAGCTGGCAACGCCGCCGCATGTTGTGTAAGTAATGGAAGAGAGATGCATTTGAATGTTGTTTCTCTGTTTCTAATCTTTACGTTTTCCAATTGTTACACAGCTTCGATGAGCTGCATTACGGCAAATATATATCGCACTATATGCGCAACATCTTCTTCTTCGATCAGCATCCGCCACTGGGCAAGCAGCTGATAGCTGGCCTTGTCAGCTTTGTCGGCTACGATGGCAACTACACATTTCCACGCATTGGCGCCACCTATGCGTCAAATGTGCCCGTCTTCTGGCTGCGCTTTGTGCCCGCACTTTGTGGAAGTCTGCTCGCACCAGCCGTCTACAAGCTGCTGTTGGAAGCGCAGCTGCGTCGCTGGGCAGCAGCGCTTGGCGGCCTGCTTGTCGTGTTGGACAATGCTCTCCTAACGCAGTCGCGTTTCATTCTCATGGAATCGATGCTGCTGCTGGCCAGCACCGTGGGCATTGCCTGTCTGCTGCGCTTCCAGCGCTGCTCGCTGGGCAGCCTCAACTGGCTAAGCAGCGGAGCGGCGGCTGCCCTTTTTCTTGCCTGCGCCGGCTGCGTCAAGTATGTTGGCTTCCTGGCGCTGGCCCTTGCCGGTTATTTGCTGTGTCGACATCTCTGGAAACTGCTCTACGATGCGACCTTGACAAGTGAGTAAAGAGAAATATGCATTTAAGAGAGGGAAACAGATATGAGCAGAGAGGAAGAGAGTATTTGACAGAGTCAGCGAAAGTTTAAGTGAAAAAGAAATCGATAGACTAACACAGAGGCACAACAGTTCAATTATGCAAAATTGGCAAAAGCGAGAGAGACAGAGAGAGACTTTTGACTATAAACACTTAGAAGGCATACAGAAATGAACAGAGAGAGTAAGTGCTTAGTAGAGAGAGAAAACGCAGAAACAAGGGAAAAGAGAGATACAGAGAGAATAGTCAGGCAGAAAGTAACAGAGATATAACAGATATCAGTAAGAGAAATCTATAACAGACATTAGTAACAGAGATCAATAACAGAGCTCAATAACAGAGCTCAATAACAGACATCAGTAACACAGATCAATAACAGAGATTAGGAACAGATATCAATAACAGAAATCAGTAACAGAGATCTGTAAGAGAGATCAATAACAGAGATCAGTAACAGAGATAAGTAACAGAGATCTGTAACAGAGATCTGTAACAGAGATCTGTAACAGAGATCAATAACAGAGATCAGTAATAGAATCTGTAAGAGAGATCAATAACTGAGATCAGTAACAGAGATAAGTAACAGAGATTAGTAACAGAGATCTGTAACAGAAATCTTAAACCTTGTATTGAATTTGTATTGAAAAACAGCTCCTTCCATTTTATAGATGGCCAACTATGGCTGCACGCACTGGGCAGACTGTTGCTGTTTGTCGGCATCCCGCTGGCCGTTTACCTGGGCGTCTTTTACGTGCACCTAAAGACGCTACATCGGGCGGGGCCACATGACACCATCATGACGAGTGCGTTTCAGGCCTCGCTGGACGGCGGCCTGGCGTCGATTACACGCGGCCAGCCGTTGGCTGTGGTGCACGGCTCGCAGATAACGCTGCGGCATACGCACGGACGCACCTGCTGGCTGCACTCGCATGCCGCCGTGTATCCGGTGAGGTACAAGGATCAGCGTGGCTCGTCGCACCAGCAGCAGGTGACATGCTACTCGTTCAAGGACGTGAACAACTGGTGGATTGTGAAGCGTCCGGAACGCGATGATCTGGTGGTGGGCGAGCAGCCCGATGCCATACGACATGGCGATGTCGTTCAGCTGGTGCACGGCATTACCAGCCGTGCGCTGAACTCGCACGACGTGGCGGCGCCCATGACGCCGCAATGCCAGGAGGTCAGCTGCTACATTGACTACGAGATCAAGATGGCCGGTGAGCTGCTGTGGCGCGTCGAGATACTCAACCGTCAGACCGAGGGCGATCGCTGGCATGCCATCAAGTCAGAGATACGGCTCATACACGAGACGACGGGCGCCGCGCTGCGCTTCAGTGGCCGCCAGTTGCCCAGCTGGGGCTTCAATCAGCACGAGGTGGTCGCTGATCGCGATCCAATGCATCAGGATGCCATCTGGAATGTGGAGGAGCATCGCTACACCAAGAGTAAGTGGCACAGCTGAAAGGAAGAAAGTACAAAATGTATGGTGCTAATAAAACATTTCCAATTATAGCTCAGGATCAGCGTGAGCGCGAGCGCCAACTGCTCTCCGCCGAGATGATTCCCACCAAACGGACCAAGCTCTCGTTCTGGGCCAAGCTGCTCGAGCTGCAGACGAAGATGTTCTGGCATGCCAAACAGGTGCAGAGCCACATGTACAGCTCCCAGCCGCACGAGTGGCCGCTGCTGGACAAGGGCATCGCCTACTGGCTGGACGACAGCTCCAGCGCCCAAATCTATCTGCTGGGCAATGTGCTCATCTGGTATATGGCCAGCGCGGGTCTGTTTATCTATGCCGCACTGCTAGTCTTTTATGCGCTGCGTCGCCGTCGCCTGTGCTTTGATGTCTCCGCCGGCGAATGGAGGCGCTTCCTCGGCGCCGGCGACACCTTCTTTGTCGGCTATTTGATGCACTATTTGCCCTACTTCTTTGTGGATCGTACGCTCTTTCTGCACAACTATCTGCCGGCGTTTGTCTTCAAGCTGCTGCTGCTCTGCTATGTGCTCGACCATGTTGACTATCTGCTGCGGAGCCACTGCAGCCGCCGTCGCAGCCGGGCATCTGTGCATCTGGTGCGCATCTATCGTCTGGCCCTGCTGCTCTGGCTGATTGCCGTCTGCGCGGTCTTCATCAAGTTCTTGCCATTGAGCTACGGCTCCAGAAAGATGTCCGCCAAGGAAATCATCGATTTGCGCTGGAAGGACACCTGGGACTTTATACTGCAAAAGAACTATGCATTGCAATGAGCCATCCACCTACCCGGCACCCCGCACCCCGCACCCGGCACCCTGCACCATGTACAATAAACCGTTATGATCCAGTTGAGGAGCTATTCGAACAGTTTGGCTGGTGCCAAGCCACGCATAAGTTATTTAAATTATGTTCTTAACTATCTGAATAGATAATAAAACTATTTATTTATTTATCCACATAGATTGATAGATTTCGGATTAGAATAAGATCGATAGATCGGCAACTAATCCAAAGCCGGAACCTGTCCGAATTGGAGATTGACACCCAGTATTACTGGGAAGTGCAAAAATAAGACAAAAGCTTTGCTTCGCAACATATTGATTAAGATTATCAGAGCGTCGGACCAACAAGCGGGCAGTCGGCGATTCAAACCCAGCAAGAATTCTCTACAATTTTTTATTTTCCGAGCAACGCCGGTTAATTTCTGCCAGCAGCCTATTCAGGCAATTAGGCATATGTTATATAGTATAGGGTATTTTGCCGTCGTTGAATGTTGTTGATATGCATTTAGCATAGCATTTGCAGTCATATTTCGAAAGTAGAAACTTAAACGGACTCCGAATAAATACGTTGATATATTTGCCCGCAGGAAATACAAGTTGAGAAACATGAACATAGGTAGATTCAAAGATCGCAATGCGGATATCCGTGCGGCAGGTGTGAGATCGGCTGTGGACGACGAGAACAGCGCCAGCAAGTGCATGACCATATCGCACATTGAGGAGGTGGCCGATCACCTGATACGGACGGATTGCAGGCGCAAGCAATTGAGGAATGCGGGTCTCTTGTGGCGGGAGTCGCCCTGCCTGCCGACGGTCAGTGTGCCGGAGCTGATGGCCATCGAGAAATCCAAATCGCGTTTCACCGTCTTCAAGGAGAAGTTCTCCGAGGAGATGTACCTGAAGCAGGCCAAATTGGGTGAGGTGAAGCCGACGGGCTCCAAGCCGGACAATGTCACCAATTTGAGTTGCACATTCGGACGCGAGACGCGATCCAAGGAGAGGCTCTACGATATGGTGCTGCCGCCAAAGCCGGCCGAGCAGGTGAATCGCGAATTTGCCAAGTTCCACGACAAATACGTGATCAGCCATAATCATTATTTTCCCTCGGAGCAGGTCAATCGCAAGTGCGACCATTCTTAACCCCTTCAATGTAGTCTTCGCTAATCTCGTCCTTTCCCATGGCAGCTACAAGCAGCCGTTCTGCAAGGATGCCACCTACGGAGCGGGCACCAGAGGCGATATCAGCGGCCAGCTGGTGAAGCGTTGCCTGCAGCAATGCGCCGGCCACGTCATCATCATCAGCAAGGAGCAGATGGACTTTATTGATCGCACCTTTCCGCGTCTGGGTAAAAAGTACAAAAAGTGAGTGCTCCCACGATCCCAGGATCCATTGGCAATTCACGCAGCCTTTTCCCTGCCCGGCCAGATACCCCTATTTGGTGCCATCCGACATGATCTATGGCACGCCCACTTATGTGCCGGACTGCGACTGCAAGATGCTCATCGAGGATATTTCGCCGTGCCAGAGCAATAAGCATCTGATCGAGGCGTTGGGCCATCTCAATATGTGGCGTCACAAGCTGCAGAAAAGCGCCGATTTCCATATGTTCGATCTGATCTCGGTGCTGGAGCACAGCGACAAGGAGCAGACACGTTTCCTGCCCCTGAAGAAGATCTTCGAGGTGATGCACAAGATGCATCTGTACATCGATATATACAAAATGCGCACCACGCTCTCCCACTTCAAAATGATCCTCGACGAGAACTGTCCCACGGAGCGTGTCAACTACGATGACTTCTGCCAATTGCTATCCATTCATAATCCATTGCCCACCACGGGCAACATATCGACCATGCCAGCGAATGTTTATAACAAGGATACCACCTATCGTCTGTTCTGCTCCGATCTCGGCAAGCAGCCGGTTGAGGCGCCAGCTATGCGCAAGCCGAGACCCAAGCAGCTGGATGATGACTCGACGCATGTTAAGGACCTGCTCACGCCGGATATATCCTTGCTATATGGACTGTCGCCCAGCGACTTTCAGCTGCTGCGTCCCAAGGAGCAGTTGGAGCTCATTTTCAAGGACATTGTCAGCACCGCGGACTTCGAAACGATTTGGCAGCAACTCATGCAGACACATCAGGAACAGAACGGTCTGGTCTCTGTGGTGCAGTTCCGTGAGGTTATGGACAACATGGAACCAGCCAGCCAGACGGCCAATTGAATTATTATTCAAAGCATTTAAATTCCAAGTACACCACGAATCTTCCAGTTGTTGCAACCGTTGACACGAATTGAAATAAAATTGTGAAATGCGCTAGATGCACTGCTTTCTTGATATATCGACTGCTTGCAACGATATTTATATCGATATATTCTAAGCACGACACCTGATTGTCAACATATCGCCGTTATATAACGGCAATAACCATTTCACAGTCGATAGGATTACAGGATTTGAAATTTGCTGCACTGCTTTGTTGATTTGTCGACAGCTTGCAACGATGTTTACATTAGCTAGCAAATATGTTTTCAATGCAACTATCGATATATTCTAAGCGCGACCCCGCATTGTCAATCTATCGACGTTCTTCAACTGCGATAACAATTTCACAATCGATAGGAGTGCAGGATTTGAAATTTGCTGCACTGCTTTGTTGATATATCGATATGTATATTAGCTGGAAAACATGTTTTCAATGCAACAATCGATATATATTTTGAGCACGTCAATTGATTGCCGATTTCGCAATCGATAGGATTACAGGATTTTAAATTTGTTGCTTTCTAGTAGTAGACACCGGAGATTTGGCGTATCCAGTCCAGGTGGTGAGTGATGCGCGTGAAACCAGCTGGCGCCACCGAGAGGCAGCTGTCCGCATCGCTGAAGGAGGTAATGCCCACCAGTTTGGGATCGTCGAGCGTTACCAACGGGCCGCCGGAGTCGCCATCGCAAATGGATCTGCCCTCGGGCGTGGCCACGCACAATACGCTCGCGGGCAGCGTGCCATAGCTGCGTGCGCACTCAGCATTGCTGATGATGCGCAAATCGATGCACTGCAGCCAGTCGGGCAGGGCGCTGCCATCGTAGGTGCTGCCCCAGCCACAGGTGACAGCCGGATGGCTCTCAAAGCTGACGCTGCGCTGCCCAAAGCCCGGCAGCAGCACCTTATTGACCAGCGACCAGAAGCCCACATATGGTGTGTGGATCAGGGCAATGTCGTTGCCAATGCTGTCCGGCCAATTGGGATGCTGCACAATATCCTCGTTGCCCACCACCAAATGGAACAGCGCCTGCGTGCGCCGAGTTGCGCCATAATAGATGCTCACCGAGTCTATGTGATCCGTGCAGTGCGCCGCCGTCAGCACCCATTTGTGGTCTATGATCGAGCCGCCGCACCACCTGGCCGCATGGCCCTCCCTCAGCAACAGGCCCACAATGTACGGAGCCTGGCCCACCGTGGCCGGATAGCCATTGGTTATAATATGATCCGGGCTAGCTGCGACCTCGAGCAATATGAGCAGAGCCCATAGCAGAATTAACCTGAGCTGCATTTTCGTCTCAAATAATTTAACTCGACAAGAAACCTGCCAATATATATATATATACACCCATATTCGTGGCTCGACCAAGCGATTAGGCTATATTTTATGCAAATATATTTATCTAGACTCTTAATGGTTTACTACATTAACCACTTTCCTGTAATGTCATTAAATCTATGGATTATATCGTCAGAATGCCGACGATTTAATACCCTTGCTGATTTACGATCATGCAAGAACACAATATTATGGGAAGCCGAGTGTACAATTGGGGATCGATAGTTATTTACGTCTTACAGCTATATACATATTTATTTACAAAGCTCTGAATATAATTATTTCGCGCTATCCAGAAAGTCTTTGGCCTCGTTGATTTTAGCCGCCAGATATGGTGATCCACCGCGATCGGGATGATTGAGCAGCATGATCTTCTTGTGCGCATCCTTGACCTGCACAATGGTAAGCAAATGGTGGGCATTAGTTTGAATGGAATGTATCTGAAGTGCTTACCTTTAGCTTGGAGGCGCTGGGACTGACGCCCAAGATGAGCGCCGCTTCGCGTTTGTTCATTTTGGGATCAAAGCCGCCTTTGTAGTATTTGGCATTGGCCATGCTCTCGGCATCGAACTTGGGCAAGTTCTTGAGGGCCTCGTTGAACTTTGACGTCATCTGCGGCATGCGGCGCAGCAGGTGTTTGCCAGCGAAGCCTACGGCCGCCACGCCGAGGCCGGCCAATATAATGGAGCTCGTCTTGTAGTAGTTCGTGATGGGATCACGTTTCATATGCATGGGCATTGCAATTAAATATGTAACGAATGACGGAATACAATTATTTCAGCAGTTTTAATTATAATTTTACACTGACATAATTTTGTACCATTTTATGTAATTGATGTAATTCTCGAAATCGAAACAGCTGTGACATAAATGTGAATGCTGCTTTTAATTGTGATCGACTTTTCGGAGCAAGCTATCGATGATACCTCAACTATCGCATAGAATAATCGATAGCGCTTGCTCTCATGCCAGCACATCCCTAATCAACTTTTGTTTTGATATTTTGTTGATTTTTGCGCTAAAAACTCGATCATCAAATGAGTAAAGAGCGTAAGCCATCCATTTTTTGGAGAAACACGCACGAAGAAATACTATTTAGGCTGTGGCATCAACATCTCGATGAGCTGAGAACCAAACGCCCAACCAAGCAAGTATATCAGGTAATTGCCGAGAAACTCATTGATGCCGGCTTTCAACTAGGATGGAAAGACGTCCGCACGAAAGTCGATAACCTGACCAGAAAATATAAGTAAATAGTGTTGATTTCGCCTTAGCTATACGCTTTTCTAAATGTCATCTTAAAAACAGAGAGGAGCTCAAAAAATTGCGCTCAACGGGCGAGCCCTCAAACTGGAAAAACTTCGAGCACATTCACAAAATTCTGGGAGAAGCCAAGTGCGACGAGAAGTTGTCCAACGAGCTGGAGCAGAGTTCTGGTCTGTTGATAAATGTACATTTAAGTGAATCGAAGTAAATATCCATTGCCCATTTGACAGACATGATTTTGACCAAGGAAGAACACTTTGACTTCGAGGATTTGCCATTTAGTACCTGTTCCGGCGACGAGATCCTAGTTGAGCAGCGCTTGGAGAACCTGGACTTCGGAGAGCCAAAGTTCTGTTCAGAAACAGCTGAATATGTTACCGACGAAAGTCCTGCACCCAAAAAACGTAAACTCAACAAATCGAGCCAGTTGACGCCGTACGAGGCGGCAATGTTGGACATAGAAAGGGATCGCTCGGATCGACTGGAGCGCATTGCCATGTGCCGGCTGCAGGTGATGAAGCGCATGGCAGCGGAAAATGCTGCTTTTCATAGTAAAATCCTGTCCTTGATGAAGAGTAAAAAGTGAATAGGTATAAATGTAATTTAGCTAGCTTATAATAAATGTTTGTTGATATTAATTGTGCTCAGGAATTGGCCAATGCCTTGTCTAATGTGCTCGGCTTCTACGTCCGTCTGCTGCACAGCATCGCCCATCGCCACGGGCTGTATCCTTTCCGTTCTCGATTCGTTAAGCCAGCTATCTAAGATCCTGCTCTTGTTGCAGTTCAGAAAGTTGTGCAATATGCAACAGCATAATATAATGTCAAAGGGTTTGCTATGGTTATCCAAGCACTCGGATATTCGGCAAAATCGCGCCTTCAACTGGCGCAAACCCTCATCCACAACTCGTCGACACTCGTCCAGTTGGTTATTGAACAACTTTTGTTGCTCCCCTTGCGGATTGGCATAGGGCGTCAGTAGCGTTGTGGAACATTGAAATGCCGAGTCGCCGAGCAGCATCACGGGCACCTTCACGCCCGCAATTAGCTTTGAATTCGATTTGAACAATGTGGAAGCATTTACAATTCTCTTTAAGGAGGACTCCTCGTAGACCTCATCGTTTTGCCGGCCACCTGGACTATTATAGTTGACATAAAGAAATCTGCAACTGAAAAGATGGAGCAGGCTATCAATAAAGATCAGTTTGATGCAACAACTCAATTCAGCTGCTCACCGATGATCGACAAGCGCGAATAGTATCCTGGAATACCAATCTTGTGTGTTATAGTATTCAGCTAAGTTTCCTGGCACGTTATTAACCTCTATGTGGCAGCTGCCTGCAGCAAGTATAAGGAAAAATTTGAAAACCGAGTAGTTAATAATTGTATTGAGGTGCTTACCAAGTGCACCAAAACACTGAGGCAAGCCCCTGGCCTCAAAGCCTCGAACGCACTCCTCCAGCTGGCTTTGGGTGAGGAACTCCTTTGGCAAATATTCCGGGGCCAGGACACGCTGGACCTCCTGGCAAAAGTCGTTAAGGATTTTGCCCACCATTGAGGGGGACACGCTGAACAGGTCGCCCACCGTGCTGTACTCCGCCGTAGAGCCGAGCGTATACAATGCAATGGCAATGCGCTTATCAATTGGAATTGCCTTCCGGAACGAGGTATCGCTCTTTTTTATGCCCAGCAGCCTTTTGACCAGAACGTGAAAGTATTGTTTTTCCATGCGAAAGAGATTTATGAAATGTTCCTCCGAGGAAGCCGGCACCTCTGACTCCCAAAATGCGCCAGTACGTTGCTGAAATACGTAAATATGCTTGATTATGATATATTCATTTATATTACTTCATATTTTTGTACGCACAAATGTCCATTCGCGCGGCGCTTTACGTTTTTTTCGCCTGCGCTCAAAGGTCAAGCGAAATTCTTCCACCGTTTGCTCAAACTCCTCTTCCCAGTCCATCAAGTTGAGCAAATTGTATTCGTTTTGTTCGCAGAGCATTAACAGCTTGGCGGGATCCATTTTATAAACAAATTTTAAACACAAATCGAAATACTAACATCAGCTGTTCGACTCTGGGCGAATGGCAAAAACTTGTGGCAGTCAGCTGTGCTCTTGAAGCTAGGGCTGCAACAACTACTCAACTGTTGTGTAATAGTTGCTCAACAGTAATAAGCTAGGCATTTTTATGTGCATAAATATTCCATTTGTGCAGTGATACACAAGCAAAACTGTTCCGATAGGCTCAATTGACTATATATTCTAATGCTTTGTAAGGCAGCAAAGCAAAATCACTGCGCACAGCACATGCGATATTTGCCGTGACTATCGAAAGCGCGAACATATATCGATTTCTTATTGATATCGTTCGCAACGTATCGGGCTCACACAAAACAAGTTGAAGAAGAAGCGTGAAAATTTGATGTGCAAAGTTTTAAACGAAATTTTTATATTATTGATTTACAGTGGTAAAAGTGTCAATTGATTTGCTAGGTAATAAAACTTGTGTGCCGCTGCCGTTGGTGTGTTGCTGCTGTTGTTGGCCCAGCCGCTGGCAGAATAACTAAAACTTAATTTGGCTAAAGGCACCAGCACTCGGGGATCAGCAGCCGTCAAACTGGAGCGTATTCCGGAGTATTTGCGCGACACGGTCGACTGGTTGATGGGGTAAGTGCAAGCATAATCAGCTGCAGCAGCCAGCACATACAATATGAGCTATGATTTTTATAAATAGTATGCAGCAGCCTGCCCCAAAGACACGATAACAGCGACAACGCGACGTAATGTCGCCTCGTCGTTGTCGTCTCGTCGCATTGTCGCCTCGTCGCCCCGTCTTGTGGTGGTGTCTTTTGTGTCCTCTGAGTTTTGCTTCGTCGCCATTTGGCATTTCGCCAATTGGCCTCGTTTCTCATCTCTCTTCTTTTTGTTGTTTTTTTTTTTTTTTTTTTGCCGTCAAAAGCAATGTTTGTTGTTGTTGTTGTTGTTCTTTCGTCTGGCCAACCAAACGCCTGACGTAGACGCCGCTGCCGCCGCCATCGCAGAAGGAGTTCCATTTACTGCTATTTTGTTGTTGTTGTTGTTCGTCTTCTTCTTCTTATCATTGTGGTGTTTGTTATCGTTGCGCTGCAAAATCAATAAAGGGCCAATATTTTGTTTTTATCGATTTCTCAAATGTAACGGCAAGTGTTTTGATTTTTATGTACTCGCACACACACACACGCACGCAAGCATAAACACAAACACGCACAGACATGCACACGCATGCATTCATGCTCACCCATACAAACGCATACATACATATATACATATGTATTTATTTATGCAGTTTGCTTCCTCGTGTCCATTCATCAAGGCCACGCTGCATTTCCAAATGCGTTTATTTATCTTCATTCTCGCTTCACACACTCGTTCGTTCGCTCACACTTTGCCCCCACACCCCTCCCGCAGCACGTCTTCCATTGTTCTTCTGCATCATCTGTTGTTTATGTTTCTACGCATTTCTGTTGTTGCAACGGCCACTGCAGCGCGATAAGCGAAACCGGTTTAATGAACTTGCCAATATCAAATGTAAAGCAAACACATGGCAACAACAATAACAAACAGTTTCATAGATCACACACATGCACTTACACACGTATACATACATACATGCATACACACATAGATTTATATATATGTATAACGGTTTGTCACCCGCTTACTTTTTGCTGATCAACGCACGAAACCGTTAAAGCTGAGATGCTGAAGTTCTTGCTGTGATTACGTAATGGAATCCAAATCCATGCTAAGGTTGGGTTGTCGGAAATCCCAACCATAAGTGCGGGAAAACTCGCGATTAAATGTTGCATGCAACATTTTTGCTTTCCATCGGATTCGACTTAAGCTCGTTTTCACTCATTTTCATTTGAAAGCTGTTTCATGCTTTTCGGCAAATCCACCCCTCCTTGCTCTGGATATCGAGTTCGTTCGATGAGCTTTAGACAAATTTCAAAAGGCCTACATAAGAACTTGTTTCAGCGATTTTGGCAATTTCATCCGTGAAAAATGGGTGAAAAACTATTTGAAAATCCTTTTTTGATTTTATGATCGGTTTGAAACTCCTTTTTAAGGATCTTCACCTTATCCGATGGATCAGATCTTCCAAACCTGAAAAACGGCCTCGCTTGGAATGATTCCAATAATTTATTGCATTTACTTGAATGAATATATAAAAGTGAATAAAGAAAAATCTCGTAATTATATAGAGTAATCACGATCTTAGATATTTGTCGCAGGTGAATTTGTCATTTCTAGCATTGCCCTTAGCTCCATACAATGTGATCAGCCTGTATTGTGTTTTCTATTCTCTAAATGGAAAACTAACTGACTGACTAACTGTAAGAGCTAGCTAGACGCAGGTGCAGGCTAGGACAGAAACTTGGGAAATCCACACGCAAATGTGGAAAAATCGTGAAAAACTTTTGTATCAAACTTTGCTGCTTACCATCCAATCGGCCCAAAAGTTATTTTTAAAATTATTTGTTGGAATTCATTCGAGGGGTGTTTTACACTTTCCTGCAAATGTATTCCTCCTCGGCATAAATGCGGGATCAAAGATTTTGTGGGCGAAGTTTCACACTTTTTGAGAATCTAGGCATCCTCGGTGAAAATGCGATTCAAAGTTTTTTTTTTGGCGAAGTTTTAAGTTTTGTCCGATTTTATTCAAACGTTTTTTTTTTAATTCTTACATAAGAATGATTGGAAATTTTTAAAATTCCACCCGCAAACGGCAAAAAGTTGTGTAGGATAGTGTTTACTTTTTCCTTCGTTCAGCTTCAAATTCATTTTCAAATATCTTTGTGACAATTAATTTGAGACGTGTTTCACACTTTTCGAAAAATGCATGCCTTTTGTATGAAAAATGTGGTTCAAAGATTAAAAGAATGAAAATAGATTTTTCGGCTTTAAGATTCTCAAAGATTTTCCAACTTTTGGCTCTTCATTCAATTTTCCACGAGCTTGAACTAGGTGAAAAAGATATGTAGATATAAACTTGCTACGGACAAGGCCGGGTAATATTACGGCAAATTTATATTCATTTCTGCATAATTGATAGATTCAAGGAAGATTCTGCTTCACAGATCTGTCAATAATAAGATACAAGTTTTCCAAAATTGAAGAACTGGAGAAACCAAATTTGGCTATTTTGAATCTCAAAAGGGAAACGCAGGGAATGCAGCTTAGAACCCAAGTGTTTGTAGTCTAGTGTTAATGTGACATCTGAGGCGGAATTGCAATTAGCTGCGATTATATATACCATATATAAGGCCGGGGAAATAGATGGATGGAAAGGCGTTGGGGGCGTCGAGGGGGCGGACCAGTCGCGACCTTGAGGCACACTTAGCACAACTCTAATTGAATTAGACAGTGCCCCGGGCGTAAGAAAGAGAAAAAGAGAGAGAGAGAGAGAGAGAGAGAGAGCGCGAGTGAGACAGATAATTTTCGCAACTCTTCACGTCCGGAATTGATTGACAGCGTTGACAAATCACAGGGCAAAATCAATGCCCAAAGGGGGGTACGGGTCGGGTCGGGTCGGCTTGGCTTTTCAGTAGATTGTTGTTCTTTGGCTCCGGAGGCCTCCGTTATGGAGGCCCGGCGCAGTTGTCGTTGGGGCCGCACACGCGTCTGGTCATGAACTGGGCCATCTCGAATCTGACGGGCGGCAATCGGGTGAGCCGTGCCATACTCGTGCGCTACTCCTCGGTGCCGCTGGCCGAGGATGGTGTCTCGACGCCTGCTGCTGCAGCCACGCCCCGCGCCTCTGCCAGTGCGCATTCGTCGCTGTCCTCGACATTTGCGGCCACGTTCCTGCACTCCTCGTCCTCGCGTCATCTCAACAACAACAACAATAACAACAACAATGGAGGCACTTGCGCTGCAGGTGCCACGCCTCAGCTCTCGCTGCCCCTCGATGTGGAGGAAACGGTCACTTGCTTTTGTCGGTAAGCCCCGGGCGCAAGGGTAAGGGGAAGGGCACGAACGAAGCCCTCTAAAAGCTCCAGAGTTTGTGAAAGTTAATTTTAGCAGTTTAGCAAATATTTTTGCTTGTCTTAACTGTGATTCGTCATAAGGTTTTACACTCATAGAAGAACTTGATTTTTGACCAAGTGTTTCTTATCAGATTCCAGCTTGCACAGTCATAATATTAAACGCTCTTCTATGCGATTTTCAGCAGCGAAAATCAACAATTTCTATCTGTCCCACAATATTCTATTCACTTTACTTACTTTCTTCGCTTTGTGTCTCTTTTTTTTCTGCTTCTCTATGTTTATTTAAGTCTCTTTCACTCACACACTCTCTCGCTCTCCCCCTCTCTCACCCCTTTTTATTTCCATCTTTTATGCGATTTTGATAAATTTAAATCGATTTAGCCTTTTTTATAATTTTTCATTATTATTTTGCTGCTTTGATACACATATATATATACACCATTTGGCCAAGCTACAGGGTATTTGACAGTGTGCACCTTCGATTGGAGCCCTTTTGTTTCCTCCAATTGGATAGCACATACAACAAGAACAAATTATTGTCGGGGCAGGGGCTGCGTGTAAGAGCGAGAAGGCTGCAATTGTCGCACTCTTCTGTTTACTCATTCGCATGCAAAAACAGCTGATAATTATTTCGGCTGCTGCCCATTAGCTTTGCTGTTGTTATTGTTTTTTTTTTCTTTTTTTTTGTTTGTTTCCTTCTTATTACCGTTTTACGGGAATTGCAAAATTCGTTTGTCCTGCCTTACTGCGTATTTACCGCAGTCCCCTAACACCCCCCCCCCCCCCCCCCCCCCTCTCCTCACTCTCTGATCGCCCACTGTTTGCTTTATAGGGTTTCCATTCGCAAAGAAACCCCGCAGTGGCCAACTGTCTAGCTGCTGGCTGGCTTTTTAGGGGGGGGGGGGGGGGGGGGGGGTCGGGTCGGTAATGGATAGGGGGAGGGAGGGTCAATGCTGGTTCACACCTACGACGCATTTAAACAGCGCTCGCAGTGTCACGCCCCCTTTTGGCTAACGGCGCGACACAGGCATAAATCACACAGCGCCTTGCCACAAATATGTGTGTGTGTGTGTGTGCGTGTATGTGCGTGTGTGTCTGTTTATGCTTGTGGCGCCTCATAAAATTCATAGTTTTGCTCTTTTATTCCATTTTTTTTGCGCACTTCCAAATTTGATGGCTACATCTGACGTCATTTGTAGTGCGCATGACCCAAAGCAGTTGTTGCTGTTGTTGTTGTTGTTTGTGTGGTGGCGTGACCGACTAAACGGAACTCCCGTCGCTGCCGCAGCGCTGCCACACCGCAAGCTAAGAAAAACACATGCCAGATTAGTAAAAAGCAACAAATAAACAAGCCGCAAAAACAAAACACAACTCACACCAATACACACAAAGCACAGATCGAGTGAGCGAGCGAGCGAGAGAGAGGGAGAGTGGGAGAGTGCTGTTCATTTTACTTATGTTGTTGTTGTTGTTGTTATTGTCAGCAGCCCCAGCAGGAAATAAACGCTTTGCCTCTCTCTCACGCTCAATGCAATTTAATTTAGGCTGTATTACTTTCTTAATGAGATATTTACATACACACAGACATATTTAAATATTGTTGTCGATAAAAACTAGACTAAGGAAATTTACATTGAAAAGCAATTAGAAAATAATCGAAATGGCACGTGTAAGTGTTTTGTAGCTCAAATTAAACAACAACAACAAGCAAGCTGTTGATTATCCGGGGCATAATATTTTTTTTTAAACGTATAAGCAATAAATATGTACATAGGTGCTCTTTCCTTTTTGTTAAGAGCGTCTTAGACCCAGTGACTGCGTATGTTGGAAACTGGGAGGGAGAGCGAAAGGGATATCCATACATATGTATGTATGTATGTATTTAGATAGATCGTGCGCCGTTTGATTGCTGGCTGTCTGCAGTCGACTGCAACGAGGCTGCAACAGTCGCTGCAATAAATAATGAGCGCAAAGCAATTCGAATAATGGCGAATTGCCTGCTCAGTCGACAAAGCAGCCGGCGTCGCGGTCGACGTCGTCGTTTGCTTGATGAAACCGCTAGAAAGCAGCCAAGCAGCGCCGTTGCAGTGCACAAATACATGTGTGCATACATATGCGTGTGTTCAAAGAGTAGCCAAAAAAAAAACACTTGAAGTGCAAATGAACTTACGGACGGGTCGGCTCGACTGCAGGGTGCACAGCAGTTGCGATGCGGGCGGTCACAGGTGTTTACTGTCCAGCAGGAGAAAGAAAGAGAGCGAGACACAACGAAAAGATCGTAACGAATTACCCAATGAACAAGCATGCTCTTTCTCTCTCTCTCTCTCTTTGGCTCGCCCAACTAGCGACTGCACCTGGACTCTTGTTGTTTTTGTTATTGTTCCTGTATTTGTCTTGAATGACGGCGCGTCTTTCTTTTTGATTTTGGCATTTGATTCCATGGAAGTCGTGATCCAAATGCAGTTCCTGTGTTATTTTGTTTGTTCTTTGTGCCCTGTTCTCTGTTCTCTCCTTATCAATGACACACACAAAGCGTGTGATAATTACACACAAAGGTATGGGAGGGTGCTAATGACATTACAAAGGTTTTACGTAAAGTTATATGCGGGTCAGGAACCTTGTTGAGTCCTGCTTTGGTAACTGATAATAGCATAATTAATGCTCTTATTCAATACTAAAACTAATATAAATATTTGTATTTCTCTTTTCTTACAGGTAAGTGCTTCTGTGAGTGCAACTCAAATGTTTACAAAGGTAAATTAAGATCAAAGAATTGAATCTGAATAAAGAATAGATATGAGAATATTTGGAATACAAGCATTTCTAAGTTAGCTTCGCAATTTCAAAATCTTTTATATAAGTTTACGGTATATGTAGTAAAAAGGTATTAATACCCTTTTGAAAAAAGGTACTAAATTCTACTACTTATTACATTGCCCGTGAAGCGGTCTAGTAGTCTGGCAACGCTGTTTGCTGTCAGCTGCTAAGAGAGCGAGCTAGTGTATCGCAAAAATTACAATTATCTGTGTGTATAGACGGCTCAGCTGATGCGACGCCACGCAGCGCAGCAAGAGAGTAAGTCGTAAGGAGAGCGAATGAGAGAGAGAGAGAGAGAGAGAGTCAAACAAGTGGTTGTGTGTCATGTATGTGTATACACGCATATGTTCTGGTCATGATGGACTGCCGCATTTGTATGCAAAGCACACAATGAAACATTTACTGCTCGCTCTCACTGGCTCTCTGAGAAAACCAGTTAACACTATACATATATGTGTGCGCGTGTATGCGTGCAGCGGCGGCAGCGACTGCGGCGCTTTCGAGCCAACAGCATTAAAAGAAACTAACTGCAACAACAATCGCCATCGTCATCTTTGGCTGTATGCTCTGCTTTCGTTCGGCAGCTTCTGTGCTTGCATATGTATTAGTAGTGTCTGTTTGTGTTGCCAGTCAGTCAGTCATTCAGGCAGCTGTCAAAGTCTTGCCGCCGCCTGCCTCAGTATAGAAATTTCCTTTGGCATGTTTGGTCGCACGGTCGTCGCTGTCTCCGTCGTCTCCGTCGTCGGGTCACCGTCTAAAACTCCGTGACTTTACGTTTGACATTGTTTTGAGGCGCGCAGCAGCGCAGTTTTAACAACAAATAACATTTCAGTGCAATAATATTGTGAATTATGCAAATCTAACAATAAAAAGGGAATAAAAAAATACTGCGAGTCCTGAAAGCAATCAAATATAAAAAAAAATAAAATAATAAACAACATGTAAGCAAGGAGTTCACTCCACTGTCCAGTGTATGTGTATGTGTATGTGTGTATGTGTGTCTCTGCCTGTGTCTGTGTCTGTGTGTGCGTTAGTTTGTTTAAGTGTAAACTGTGTCATTCACAGCTAACTGCATACGAGTTTTCAATACATATACGGGCAAAAACAAAAAAAGAAAAAAAAACACTAGCTGCCTCTTCAGCAGTAGCCGCATTACAACTTTTATTATTGGAGTTGTTGTTGTTGCTGTTGCCACGGTTTGTTGCTTCACTGATTACGCGCAATGCAGCAGCAGCAGCAGCTTGCAAAACCGGCGAAGCGCGACTGTTGCCAATGCAACGTTTAGAATTGGCACAGCAACAAAAACAAAACAAACAAATACACACACAACAACAACAACAACAATAACTGTTACGGCGCATCGAGCTTTTGCGTTGGCCAGTAACTGTAACCAGTAAGCAGCTAACTGAGCAGCGGCAGCGGCAGCATCTGCAAGCGCCAGCAGCGCTTAATAACGTTGCTGCAGTTGTTGTTGTTGTTGCAGTTGTTGTTGTTGTTGTTAGCGTTTTGTCGCTTGTTTGGTATTTTTTTTATTTAACCACTTCCTTTGCCGCAGCGTTGTGTCTGCTCTATGTCACTTCCTTGCCTGACGCGTTTCCTGCATCAACCCCTCATATTCGTGCTGTCAGGTGGCAACCCTCAACCCTCAGCGCCTATACGTGTTTAACAAAAAGCAGGAAAAAAAAGAAGCACGTTTGCAACGTTGCAGCCACTTCAAGAAGCGCCAAGTTCGCAAATGCGTCACCACGTGACGCAGCGTGTGTGGCACAGTGTGGCAAAAATCGATTGTTTTCTCGCTTGTCTCTAAAGCTGTTGTGAAATTGAATGCCTTTTTCTTCAGAGTGGGCGTGGGGGGTGGGGGGGCCTATGTCGAGTCAAAGCTTATTTCTATTAAATCAAACTAGATAATATATGTATATATTTGTTTCTTTAACTAACTTCGGATAATCGATCTATTTGCTTACTCTTCTTGCACTTTGTTGTACTTTATTGTTGAGAGCATAGTGTATAAGTGTATCTAAATTCCAATCCCCTTCGCTCGCTATGCAGGAATTAACGGGGACTTTCCCGTCGATTGATCGCAACGCCAATTGAATCGTCGCATTACAAGACGCATCTCTAGTTGCTTCGCTCACGTCATCCAAGCAAGAGCAGCTGCAACAACAACAACAACAGCAACGTCGACAACAACAACAACACAGGTTGACTTGATATTGGGAAACTAGTTTTTATTTCTTTTGATAGTAATAATTCTACTACGATTCAAGACTCGCTCTCTAGACCGAGCGAAGCAGGGGGAGAGAGGTGTATGTGAGAGAGAGAGAGAGAGAGAGAGAGAGAGAGTCTTGGGGCTGGGGCATTGATTGTGTGTGACTTGCTTGTTTCAGTTTCCATTTGCTGTGTGTTGCCATTTCGTTTCGCCTCGTCTCGCCTCGTCTTGTCTCTGTCTCCTTTTTCGTCGCTGGCTAAATGCTCGTTTGACCTTTAACGGTGCTTTGCCTGGTCGCGACTTAAATACACACGCACACACACGCACACTCTTACAGAATATCGTCAACAATTAAGCTCATTCAAAATGCGAGCATGGAAATTCAGCGTACACTCGACAACGTGATATTAGAATCACTTCATAAATTTGTGATTTAATTGCTTCGCTGCGGCGCGGGCGGGTGTGAAAGCGCAGGCAGCAAAAAACAAATAAAAGAAATAAAAACAAAAAAAAAACAGCAAATTGACTTCAATGCGAGTTGAAGGTTAAGCGCTTTGAATGCGACGCGGAAATTGGGCGCTTTGTAAGCCTATACGGAAGGGAAGGGGGGAGGTGGAGTCGAGTGGGCATGGCCATTGGAATTGATTTCGTGGTTCGTTTGACAAGCTGCGAGCAGAGAAATAACATGGAAAGAGAAACAACGGAACAGTGAAGACATTATTGCAAATAATTGTATGCAAATAAATACATACGGCCATAATGCTGCACTCTTCATATGAAGTTGGCTGTGGTTAGATATGACAAAAACAAAAAACAACAACAACAACAACTGATATTTGCATGACTCGGGAAGTGGGCGCCCACCACTATCTAACCTCAAAAGTAATTTATTGATTTCCGTTATTCGAGCAAAACTTTAGGTGTGCATAAGTATGTATATTTGTACAGTAAAAGCTCGGTACAAAGGACAAGCATTGTTTTCAAAGGCTTGCAGCAAGGTTAAATTTATGGCCCGAAGAAAATACATAGATACATATGTATCTATGTATGTATGCATGTACATTCAGGAATAAAGGGAATTATCAATTGATTTGAGGCATTTTCTCTTGCTCTCTTTGCACAAGCAATTATTTGTGCATTATTTTTTTGTATATTATGTTTTTATAAATAACCTAAAATGATTTTTCTGCGCCAACAGCAAACGACGAAAAGTGTCAATGTCAGCTCAGCTCAGCTGTCGTTGTTACCCAACAAAACAACAACAACAACAACAGCAGGAGGCGAAAAAAATCGAAGAGCTGTGCTAAATTTATTATTCAGCTGTCGCTATTGCCGTTTTTGGCTTTCGCATTTGTATTAGTGCCGCTCTCATTTTTGCTCATTTCATATCCTCTTTGGCTATGCCACTCATCATGTGTTTGTGTATGTGTGTGTGTGTGTGTGTGTGTGTGTTGGTCAGTCCGTTATCCCGTGCTCTTTTCATATTTCTAACGGTAACATGTGTCATTAATTGCTTCATGCATGCGCTGCAGCCATAGTAACAAGAGTGCAATAGAGCGAGAGAGAGAGAGAGAGAGAGAGCGAGCGAGAGAGTGAACGAAAGAGCACTTTAGTTAGGCGGAGCTGCATACATATGTATGTTCGCAAACTTCTTAATGTATTTATGTCTGTCACTTTTGATACCCTGTAATAAAGCATAAAGACGGCAAAATTACGCTGCTTCAATTCTTGAAACAGCATATATATGTTAACTGATATGTAGAACTAATTCCGATTTATATGCAGGGTAGCAATTAGTCGTGCATCTGTATACCCTTGCTTATGTTTTGTTGCTTTGCGGCTAAAAATGTCAAAATCCTCAACAAAAACAAAAAAAAAATCAAAGAAGATGGAAAAAAATCCATGTTGCAATCGCGTTTTTTTCCATGCCGCCGCCTGCCCACTTGTGTTGCACGTATTCGTAACAAATAACAACAACAAAAACAACAAAAACACTCGAAATGTTGCGGTTGCCAGCGTGTAGCATAAGAGTCTTTTGCCTAGTTTTTTTACATTAAAAACAATAAACCAAGCGGCGCTAGACTCCCACAACTGTGGCACGAGAACGTCAACGCACAGTGGTTCGATGATACTATAATAAAATAACCGGAAATCAGTTGACAAATTGTTATTCTTTCACAGGAACTGCATTCAATTAAGAGAGAAAAAAAAAGCTAAACATTTCTATCACGAAGCGTTGCATCGTTAAATTTTATAGTACAACAACTAAAACTGCATTCTCAAAAGCAAAAGGGTCATAAATAAATATTGATTTCTCGAAATGCAGTATGTAATAAATGTAATCGATATTTATCTATCGATAGAGCTGGAAATAATTGCAATCGCGAATGGATTGTGAAATTAAAACCAATTGATAGCCTGATTCCATTATGCTTAACATTTGCTACATTTACACAACTACACATTCTGCGATTCCATTAGCAAGTGTGAGTTGTTGGAAACCTATACCGCTTCTTTGAAAAAAAAGTTAAACGGTTTGATTTGAAGTTTTTCTCCCAAGCCTCAAATAATCGAACTCAATAATAATATCTGCGACATTTGGTCATCTTTAAATGTTGATAAATGTGGGATTAGTAAAGATTTTTCTCTTTTTCCATAACATCAATACGAAACTCGAAGCGAGCGAATACCAACATTTTTTTTTTGAAAATGTGTAAAA